GTTGCCAGGGAGCGAACTGGAAGGCAAAGATGTGACTGTCCAACTCGTGCTCGCCACCCGACTCGGACTCGACTTTGTATATTACTTCCCTCAATTCGTTAGGCAATCGTAATTTCGTGAGGGCCTCAGCTCTGAGCGCGGCGGCCTTTGAGGACTCCCAGCGCTCCAACAATGGGGTCAGAGCTCGAGGTGGAACGTTCTGGTTCCCGTTTTCTCTCAGCACTTCGGCCTCGTTGAGGTGGTTATATTCCGGTAGTAAGAGCCACAATCGATCAAGAGATCGAGCACCGGGTCTTACGTGGTGCAGAGCGACGTACGAGAAAGTAGGGTCGAGAGGTCCCAGCTGCCCGTTTAACCACATAGGATTGGATGGGGCTCTCTTGAAGGGCTTGGACGACACTTCGGCTGCTTCGAGACCTGGGCAGTCCCGTCTGTGATCGTCCGTGATCGCAACAGAGTTACGTGGGGTGGGCCTGCGCCTGAGTCACTTCTCCCTCCCAAGAAGGGAGGAAGGGTTGTAGGACCCAGTAGGGTACTACAGGAAGGGTAGGAACGGGAGCTCAACCACCCAGTGGGGGGGTGGGAGTGGGAAGAGTGAGGTCCGGTGTCTGAGCACTCACCGGGTCGTTAAGGTTTCCTCATGGATTGTAAGAATATCAATGTAGACAAGTCAGATGTTACAGGGAAGGTTTACAGGTGGTGGCACACTGGGGTGGCAGTTACAATCACTGGGTGATAGTCTGAGATTGTATATATGATAAAGAGAACAATTCCGGCATCTGCCTTATACATCATATGACTTCTAACTATCTAATATAAAAATCATAATGGTCAAAGGAAGTCCCTTGAAACTCAAGATTCTAGGTCCATTCCCATAACACTTGGGGTGCAGGCACTCTCGCGTGATATGGCCTGGGGCATTACAGTTGTAACACAACCCTTTCCTCCTCTGGTCAGTCCTTGATCGGTCGAGGTCCATCGGTTGTGGGCCTGTCCCAGACATGGGGTGGGCTGCGGGAGCTGGGGGTGCGGGTGCAGGTGTGGGTTGTGGGGGAGTAGGTGTGGGTCATGCATGGAGAGGAGTCATGGTTGGTGTCATGACCGACAAATCCTGGGGCTCCGTCAGCGGCGAATCAATGCCGATAGGCGAATCCGCCGACCTGAAACCCAATCTAACCAGCCCCCAATCCGATGTCTGGCCCCCTGCCCTATCAACCATGCACTGCATCCAGTCCTCCACCCGCATCTGGACCTCTGCCACTCCTGGTTGCCCTCCACACCCTGTGGTCAGGCCAACACTCCCCTCCGACCTTGCTGGCCATCATGCTGCCCTTGTTTGTGACGGCACTGACGGACCACCCTCTGTTGCGGACTTGTCAGCACCGCGCTGATTTCCATGTCCCTTCACGGACCTGTGTCGGCACCGCACCGACCCCGCTTATTTGCGGACTTGTATCGGTGCCGCGCGCTGACCTCCGCTTTTCTCTGGCCATCTTGTCACTCGGCAGCATACCATTCATTCCTTGCCGAGTGCCTATACTGTTCATCCATTCATTCGCTTAACTTGCCAATATTGGCACTTGATCCATGTGCTGATGCACTTCTTATTACCTGTCAATATTGGCACTTGATCCGCTTTTGTTTAGTTCATTGCCTCCCATTTCCCAGGCTCTTGTCCTTCATTCAGTTTGACAATCCCCGCTTATTTCCGCGCCGGACCGCACCGGACTGACCAGTCCTTCTGTGTTTCCCTCCTGCCTATTTATATCCTGTAAATACTTTCGGGGACCTTAGTCTGAAATCAACTAGAGTACCCCCCCTGTCTGGTCTGAGTCTCTCCTTCTGCAAAGGGGCTTCCCCCCTCTGAGTCCGTGCTCGCGGAGTCCGCGCTCCTCCTACAGGTCCGCTCTGCCCACAAGTCTGGTTTGAAGTCCGCTGTAAGTGTCAGTTTGTAAATACGGGATCTCCCCCAAACGTCAAGCTCAGGGCACAGCGCTCCACCTGAGTCGCTGAGGCCGCGATCCCACTCTGCTAACCTTGAACAGCGCTTCCGGACGTGCCGCATATTTCCGCCCGCATATCCGCGTGTGCGCGCTCCAACAGACCTCTGCCACAACCTCCGACACCGACAATATCCCAGCCTCTGACAAAATCCAGTCTCTGACAGTTGGCTGGGTCCAGGTTGGTAGGAGTGGGGGTCTGGGTAGGGGTGCTTGCAGCTGTGTGGCTTGGAAGCGTCACCATTGGTTGTCAAGGAGCATGACTTCACACTTCCATTCGGCCCAGGTAGTGGGCATAGGGTGGAGCCTGTAGATGCTCTCATGGAGCTGGGCATTGATCACTTGTTTGAATTGGTCGACCAGCCCTATGTCACCCAGCCTTGAGGCTGGCCCCAGTATCTCGAACTCCTGGATCACTTTGTCCACAGAGTCGCTCCCCTGTCAGATCATTGCCAGCTTCTGCCAGGTAGTGGCCTCCCAGTTCAGGTCTTGGAACATGTCGTCGAGTTCCATGTTGAACTTGTCCATAGTGAGTGTGGGGGAGCCTGCCATCAGCAGCAAGATCGTGCATTGCATTGCCCATGCCCCTGCAGGTCCTCCCTTCATGTAAGACAACACAAAGAGGATCTGGGAGAGGGCAGTGGGGAATTCAGATGCACAGATGTGGAAGTAAATTCCACATTCAGCTTTGAAATGGTCGAGATCTTCGCTGGCTCCTGAGAAGGGTGTAGGGGGGGCAACCTTGGGTGGTTTGGGTCTGGGTGCGGGTGCAGGAGCGGGTGCAGGCACAGGCGTGGGTGCAGGTGCAGATGGGGGCAGGGGGTGGTTGCAGGCTTGGCTTTCCACAATGGCCTGCAGCTCCTGAAACCGGGCCAGTAAGTCATCATACTGTTCTTCTGACACCATAGTGGGGGAGGTGGGGAAACGAGGTTAAAGCCTTCTTCTGCTGTTAGGGACTTGTCCAGGGTAGAGGAGGCCCAGGTATAGTGTCCGGCGCTGAGAGTCTGGCAGGGTGTGGATCAGGTGTGCATTGTAGGTGGGATAATCACCCACATGCAGAGCCAGCTCAGATATCCATTGTCACCATTCAAAAATCATCTCCATTCGTTCAATAAATCGATACAAACTTGGTACCTAAAATTACCCCTAATTCCTATGAATCCGTCGATGTCAAGATCGTCCCAATTGGTGGAGATTTGGTGGAGTTAAGTGTTGGGGAGGTTAGCCACAGCGTGGGTCATGGGATCTCGTCATGTGTGGGAATGGGAAGTTCAATTTAGGCAAGCAGCAAGTCAGAAAAGCATGCTTCACCCATTCCCAAGGCATCAAATAAATTGGGAAAAATGTTCTTTAGCTGCGTAAAGGTTATTCCCAGCCACAGTTCCAGTTTCGGGCACTAATTTTGTGAAATCATTGATAAATTCCCAATTTTCCTCATATTTTCACATTTTTACCATCATTTTGATATATTGGATGATATTCTTTTATTCTTCTGATGCCCTTTTCAAATATTTCGCTTACGATGGGGTCCAGGAGCCATATGGCACCAATACTGTATTTCCCATCAATCATTTCTAAAAATTTTTATTCTTTATATCCTGTACATACTGGGATTGAAAAATCAAGTTCTCCCCTCCCCTAATTTCTTTAAGGCGCTAGGACGCATCAGAGTTAGTGTGAGTGTGTTAGGAATTCCTACAGTAGGAGTAAGGGCAGTCATCTAGCCCACAAAGAGTGGGTAGTGGACACTGAGCCCGGACCTTGCAGAATTTCTGGAGAATTTCCTGGAGTTTTAGGATTGAGGCCAGTGGAGAAAGGAGTTTTTGTGGAGAGTTTCCCCCATGAGCTTGGTTGGTGCTGAGAGCCACTAGCTCTCTTGCAGCATACTGACAAGCCTGACACAGGACAGTAGTCCCTGGCCACTTAGACTGAAGTGGAAAGTTGAGAAGAAGGCTACTTCTTCAGTTCTCACTTCAGGTTCATTTATATACATGCAGCTTGGGTCATATGACAGGTGCCACATCACCCTTGCACACAGCTGTAACCACCCAGGTGTCTCCATGGGAGATCCCAGGCGCATCCGGTGTGAGCACGCATGCTGGGCACATGTCAGGGGACACCTGCCCAACCCAGCTCCACCCACCCTCACCCGGTATCCCACTCACCTCTATTCCTCACCCTTCATCACAGTTCCTCATTTCTTGTTCTTCCTTTTGTCCTTTTGTTCTTTTGCTCTTTTGTTCTTTCTTCTATCTTTATCTACATGGACAACCTTTCCCCATATCTATGTATTATTGACCTGCTGTCATGGCCCCACAAAGTCCCTGCCTTTACCACTTCTATCACCTGCACCCCATCACCATTCTTGCACCCATTATTCATGCCCGTTAATTGCACTGTTGTCCATCACTTAGCGGTGCCGATAGTGGTTCCCATCTACGGCCCCGTAGTGGCACCTCCTTCTTTCTCCTGCCACCACTTGAGTTCCTCAGCCATTCAGCCGACACCATTTTATTCTTATTCATTCACTTAACTTACTAGTGGTCGATATTGTTGCCACTGATCCGCTCCCACATTGACATTTGGTTTATTCCTTTATTGACATTTGATTTATTCGTATATTGACATTTTGATCTGCCACTATATTGGTGCCTAGTGTGAGGTCTCAGGGTAGCTCAGCACACAGAGCTGTAAGTGATACAAGGGTGTGTATTTTACAGTAGTGTGTAAGCAGTTACCTGGAGGTTCCCACTTACCCACATGACTATATGTATCTTAATTACATGTGGCTCAGGGTTTGGGGCTATTGCCCTGACACCTAGATTGTTGGTCCTAGTTATTCTGCCTCCCAACTTCGCTGTCCTCTGTTCCATTCATTTCTTCTGTTCCATTTCCCTGGTCCTCATCGCTCTTTTAGCTTTGTTGCACTTACCATTCTGCTCCCATCACATGCCAGACCGACCAGCCCCTTCTCTGTTCTCCTTTCGTACTTATACTTGTTGTCATATCCATGCATACCCGACCCCTACCCGACTTCCGGACCTCCACCCTCTTCACCTCCGGAGTTGTACCCTACCGCTGCCATTCCGATACTTACCTTCGGTCCTGGCAACACACCTCCTTCTACCCCCCACACCTCCTTCTTACCCCTCACACCACCTCTACTCCTCCCCTATCTCCGTCCGCTCCGATACTCACCTCGGCCCGAACACCACCCCTCTCGCCCCTCTCGCCACCCTCCTACTACTTCTCCACCTGTCAGGGCACAGCCCTTGACCCCACTCACCCTCAGACACCCTCACCCCTCTCCTAACCACCCTCTCTCCACATTTCCCCATTCCCCTTATCCTTCCCCCCACTGTTTCACATAATGACGCGCCCGCACGCGAACCCGTGGGAACGTTCTGGGCGAGCGACTCGCCCAGAAATGTACAGCCACAACCGTGGGAACATTCTGGGCGAGCAGCTCACCCAGAACTTTCCCACGGGTCACACCCGTTATGGAAAGTCGGCAGCAAGCGGGAACTGTATAGTTCCTAGGGTCCTTTTGTGTCGGCCTCACAGGGGGCTGAGAAGCTTACCCTTCTTCTCAGCTCATTCCCTGTGAAGGCAAGTGTACTTACCCGCTTTTCAATGAATACCAGCTCATTCCCTGTGAAGGCTGAGGCCAGTCCCCTCAGCGACTTCGAGGAGTTAGCACCTGGGGAGAGTACCCCAGCTTCCACACCCGGCCTCGCCCTCCGGCCACTCCCAGCTGGGGTCCGGATCCTGACACCACCCTCCTGCTCCGCTCCTCCTTCACCCAACCTCCACCCTCCCGTCATCCTCCTACACTTCCCCCATCCACTCCGATACTCACCTTCGGACCTGACAACCCTCCTTTCCGCCACTCCTTCCCCCTTACCTTTCCCCTCTCTCCTCCCTCTGGTACTCCTCCGCCACCCTTCCGCCAAGTTACAACCTTCCACCGCTGTCCCGTACTTCGTACTCAGACACCGCTTGTACCTTTGCTCCGAGCCTCTGTCATAGTCCCTACCTCGGACTTTGACTCCACCTCAGTCTTAGTCCATTGCATTGGTGACCTCATACTACATAAACACCATTGCCAATATCCCTCGGACTTTCAACCCCGCCTCTGTAACCTCCGTAAGCTCCACAACCCCTGAGCTTCACGGATCGCCTTCGGCACTTTCGCCGCTTGTAATGTATCTCTCGCATTTACCCCTCATCCCTATTTGGACTACTGCTTCTTCCCATTCTAGCCAGTTAGTCATCATCCCCACTTCTCCTCATCCTCCTGCCCCTCTGGGCCTCGCCCTCCCTACCTCCTTTCAGATGTATCACAGGTCCTGCCTTATGACCTTCGGTACCGCTCCACTTCTTCTACCCTTTGTTCCCGTTCGGACGTCTTTGTTCCGATTCAGCTTCCCTTTGTTTCCTTGTGCTCTTGCCCCCTCCATTATATATATTGGCGCTTGTACATACTCGTTTTGGTTCAGTCCGAAATCGACCTGAAATGCCCCCTAGAGACTTCCTGCTCACCTACTGTGAAATTAAGGACCAAATGGACAAACAGCAATGGCACAGTGCTCCGCTTGAGTCGCTGAGGCCAAGGTCCCTCCACGCTAAGTCTCCGATTCCACTCCGGAGTCATCTGTATCAGCCCTGTTCTAACACTTGTAGTTTACTGTTGATGTACCTCAGTTCAAATATCGACTAGAAATCCCCCCAAAGTATTCTCGTCTTAAGTTCACCTCTCAACTTCATCTCCACCTGAACCAACCTCACTGCAAGGTCCCTCCTGCTAACTTGAAATACAGGACAGCCTAGGCTCTAGCCAAGTTGTTGAAGCCGAAGTCCCAACCCCCACAACGCCTTGCAACGGAGAAGCACATTAGCTAAGTGTCCACTCATGCCACTGCACTGCACTCCGCTTCCCATGAATACTTTGAATACCGTTTCTGACACCTGCCTGCGATGTGCACACGACACACCCAGCCCCAGACGACCTGGATGGCCTCACAGTGCAACCCAGCACACACCCTCAGGATCCCCCATGGGGACACCCGGATGACTGTGGCTGTATGTGGGGTGTGTCGGAAAATTGCGAGATCAATCAAAAGCATGAGACTTGACATTTAAAACGCCAAAATTTGACGTTTAAATGTGAATTTTGGCATCTAAACGTTGTGATAAATTGTTTATGGCGTTTTTTGATATTATTGAATGCGTTTTTATACCCCTCAAACGCTCTGAATATGTTTTTAATAACTTAATAAATGTGTCATAAATGCTTCCTACAGCATCAAAATCGTCAAAAATCCGTCTCATATAACACATAAAGTACCACCACATCTAACCAATGTATTCTCATCGGCTGTTGGGTAGTTGTTGTAAATAAATGCCATGAAACGTTTCCCAGGTGTTTAAACGATATACGGGATTTTCCGACATGATGTGGCAAACCTCATGTGACCCAAGCCGCATGTACATAAAGGTACCTGGGGTGGGAACCGAAGAAGTAACCTTCTTCTCATGATTCCCACTTCAGTCTGAGTGGCCAGGGATCGTTGTCCTGGATTGGGCCCATCACTACACATGCCAGCTCCACACCCCGCAGCGACCTCAGTGCCAGGCATTACACCCAGGCCTCCTGGACCCCAGACATGTCCCTGACACAATCCTTCTTAGGATTCGTAAACTTCTACTGCCGGTTGTCAGGGACAGCTCCGAAAGTGGCGAGGTCCCTGTGCGCGGGACTCGGTGGGACGAGTAGCGGCTGTGCATAGCGGCAATCCCGTCGCAGGGTGAGCGTCCCCGACCACTTAGTCTGAAGTGGGAAGTTGAGATTATCATTAAAGGGGAAAGCTACGGTACTTACCTGAAGTGGGAAGTTGAGAAGAAGGCTGCTTCTTCTGTTCCCACCCCAGGCACTATTATATACATGCGGCTATGGTCACGTGGAGGAAGCCACGTCATCTCCGCACACAGCCGCACCTCCCTGGGTGTCTCCACGGAAGATCCCGGAGGTGGCTGCTCAGTAGGCAGGAGTGTGCGCAGCGCATGCGGCGATCGGGGAGGTGGGGTTAGGTATGTAGTGGTACATAGAGAAAGGGAAATCGACCGTAGAATAGAAATAGAAATAGAGATAGAGAGGAAGGGGAAAGTGGAGGAGGAGAGATGGGGAGTGATAGCACGGTAGTGCAGTACGGCGTGGGGTGCGGCGTGGGGTCAGGCAGGTGTGCCCTGACACCGGTTCATCAGAGATTTTCTCTGAGAAGGTGCACCCCCTCCACAGACTGACCCAGAAGACCCAGGCCTGGAACTGGGGCCCAAGTGAGGATGATGCCTTCCATGCTCTCAAGGAGGCTGTTACCACTGCCCCCATCCTGTCATATCCATGCATACCCGATCCCGACCCGACTTCCGGACCTCCTCCTTCTCCACTTCCGGAGTCCTACCCTACCGCTGTCCGTTCCGATACTCACCTTCGGTCCTGGCAACACACCTCCTCTTACCTCCGATGCCACCTCCACTCCTCCTTCCCACTCCTCCCCTATCTCCGTCCACTCCAATACTCACCTTGGACCGAACACCACCCCTCTCGCCACCCTCCTACTACTCCTCCTACTCCTCCGCTCCTCCCTCACAACACCTCCACCCTTCCATCATCCTCCTACACTTCTCCCGTCCGCTCCGATACTCACCTTCGGACCTGACAACTCTCCTTTCCGCCACTCCTTCCCTCTTCCCTTTCTCCTCTCTCCCCTCTGGTACTCTTCTGCCGACCTCCCGCCAAGTTACGACCTTCCACCACTGTCCCGTACTTCGTACTCGGGCACCACTCGTACCTTTGCTCCAAGCCTCCATCATAGTCCCTACCTTGGACTTTGACTCCACCTCAGTCTTAGTCCATTGCATTGGTGACCTCATACTACGTAAACACCACACCACAAAATAACTATTTTTATGGATTTTACACTGTAGCCCACACAGTGCACAGGCCCAGTCTTGCACATCCATTTACGACCCACATTACTCGCTCTTTCCTATTTTTTTTCTATTTTTCTGAAACCATTTTCAGTTCCTAAGCAGGATTCTCATGCACAGCATAACTCTCAACTTCTTACTTGATGGTCTCCACAACTACACATTTACACCCAACGTTCTTATGCTCGATCGATAGAGCACGATTAGCTCTCCTACCATGCCAATTTTCGTGCCGAATGGACAAATATTAGTAGAGATTCTGATTCAACACCATGCTGAATCTCACGTGGACTTGACAGCACCTGTTAATGGTGGTACCTCAAGAACCACAGGGCCAATTTGAATAAAATTGAGCTTGTTGGAAAGCTGGAGCAGAGGAAAAGTTAGTGTGGCTCAAAAAAAGGCATGGAAAGGGACGGTTTGGTTTCGTGTCGACCTTCTTTCATATCAGGCTGCTCCAGCAGTATTTCCCCCATTTCTCCTCCATTTCTTCGTCGATTTTGTATCATTGGAAAGCTGTTATTAAAATGAGTCAAACTAGTCTGTAGCAGAGAGATTTGGTTCAGCCGTTGTGGAGATCGTCAACTTTATTCATTGTGTTACCATCAATCAGCATAACTTGCAAATATATTGACGAAAATGCCATCGATTCCCCTCAAACTTGGTACTATAGGAAGAATATTCTCCACGGGCACTCAGGATATTTCTTCATATTTTTAAGGCTCCTGAGAGACTCTGAATGTCGACTTTTTCCCTTGTCCCATGCAATCCATGTTTGGTGAATATTCATGACAACACACATTAGAACTTGAATGTGGCAATATATATGCTTACATGCGACATAACATGTGTGTTCTTCATTCTGATACCTAGCTATAAGGTTATACATTTCCTTACAGAATGTTAGCCAGAGCTTGTATGTACTTGTAAGCAATGGATTTTCCAAATTGGTGGAGATTTGACAGAGATGCCAGCCTCGCAAGCTACCCATAGTAGGTGCATACCAGATATGGTTATCTACAATGACTTGTAAAATCTCCAAAATCTTTATAAGCATTAAAAATCCCCTTGAAAGCACCATGGCAGAGTATAATGCTCGAAATCATTGAGAAACATTGGCCATTCCCCCACCTTGGCCCTAATTCCCTTTATCTTTTCCATTTTCCTGTCTACTATTTATGTAAATAGCCGTATTGTCATATCCGTGCATACCTGACCCTGACCCGACTTCTGGACCTCCTCCTTCCCCACCTCCGGAGTCCTACCCTACCGCTGTCCGTTCCAATACTCACCTTTGGTCCTGGCAACACACCTCCTCTTACCTCCGATGCCACCTCCACTCCTCCTTCCCTCTCCTCCTCTATCTCCGTCCGCTCCGATACTCACCTCGGACCAAACACCGCCCCTCTCGCCACCCTCCTACTACTCCTCCTCCTACTCCTCCGCTCCTCCCTCACAACACCTCCACCCTTCTGTCATCCTCCTACACTCCTCCCGTCTGCTCCGATACTCACCTTCGGACCTGACAACTCTCCTTGCTGCCACTCCTTCCCTCTTCCCTTTCTCCTCTCTCTCCCCTCTGGTACTCTTCTGCTGACCTCCCGCCAAGTTACGACCTTCCACCGCTGTCCCACACTTTGTACTCAGGCACCGCTCGTACCTTCGCTCCCAGCCTCCGTCATAGTCCCTACCTCGGACTTTGACTCCACCTCAGTCTTAGTCCATTGCATTGGTGACCTCATACTACGTAAACACCATTGTCAATATTCCTTGGACTTTCAACCCTGCCTCCATAAGCTCTGCAACCTCCGAGCTTCACGGATCACCTTCGGCACTTTCGCTGCTTGTAATGTATCTCTCACGTTTTCCCCTCATCCCTATTTGGACTGCTGCTTCTTCCCATTCTAGCCAGTTAGTCATCATCCCCACTTCCCATCATCCTCCTGCTCCTCTGGGCCTCGCCCTCCCTACCTTTCGGACATATCACAGGTTCTGCCTTATGACCTTCATTACCGCTCCGCTTCTGTCTACCCTTTGTTCCCATTCGGACGTCTTCATTCCAATTCAGATCCCCTTTGTTCCCTTGTGCTTTTGCCCCCTCCATTATATATATCGGCACTTGTACATACTTGTTTTGGGCTCAGCCCAAAATCGACCTGAATGCCCCCTAGAGACTTCCTGCTCACCTACTGTGAAATTAAGGACCAAATGGACAAACAGCAATGGCACAGCGCTCCGCTTGAGTCGCTGAGGCCAAGGTCCTTCCACGCTAAGTCTCCGATTCCACTCCAGAGTCGTCTGAATCCGCGCTTCATCTCTAACATGTATGTACAACATCATGGGGCACATAGTTATCAGGACATCCTCAGATTTTCCCACAGTCCATTTTTGGTAGCAAGCCGCATCACTAGGACGTCCACATTGAAATAGGACGTTTAGGCCCTATTTGAAGCATAAAAAACACCCCTTGATAGGTGGGTTAATTGGCTGACTAGCCTGGAAACCCCCTATTGATACAAAGAAAAGTCGTCCATGTAAAGTGAAGAGAAAATAAAGAGAAAGTAAAATAGGGGAAGAGTGAAGAAAGGGAGGGTAAGAGAAAGAAAGAAGAAGGGGGGAGGAGGTAGGAGAGGACTGGGTGGAAGGGCACCGGGTGAAGTGGGGCCGGGTGGGGCCGGGTCAGGCGGGTGTGCCCTGACAGCAGTACAGTGGCTGGAAAGTGCTCTCCATAGACATTGTGATGCAGAAGTTACACCTGCTGAAATTTCTGACATGAGGATGCGAGACAGTTTGGGTCAGCTTGAATGCTTTCAACTTTGATAACAAAAACTCATTCTCCTTATTAGTTTCATCGAGTTTGTCAAGGGCTTGGACCATATATTCCCTCCCCCCCGGGTAGAATTGCACAACCCACAACACAAATGAAAACACGTGATTTTGTGCGCTTATCTCAGTGGGATTTTGTAGGTTCACTGCGCGCGTCCACACCTACTAAAGAGTAGCAGGAATTCGTATTGAATCAAAGAGTAGCAACCACACAAATGACTAAGCACAAGAAGCGGGCAAAGCACAGGGGAAAGATTGTGAAGCAGGTCATGCAGCACGGTTCTATTTCAGAAGTCACCAATATTTTTGTGCCCTCAATTTCGTGGTTCCGGGTGGACTGCCCACAACGTCTCCGATAGTACCATGTTTCATGAAGGCCTCTTTTAGCCAGGCAGGAGGCACCAGGTCATCCTCGCGCCTTAACCTATTGGCCAACCCACCCGCAACGAATGCAGCTGACATGCTAGTGCTACTCTTGGTCGTCCATTCGCGCGGACCAGCGATCGACGGAACTTTCATTTCAACGCCCGGGGCAAGAGCATCGACGGCAGGTCCAACGTTGGAGAAATATGCAATTATCTTCGAACACTCCTCAATAGCGCCAATGGTGTAAGCGCTTGGAACAGAACCAGGACTAAAGTATGCTGCGTTCGTTGATTCCATCCCTGCAGGGGCTACAACGTGCAAACCCTTACTGATGGCATCTTCGACGGCAGCGTTAAGGGCCTCATTGTACTCGAAGGTTGGGTCTATCACTAGGATGGATTGGCAAGGAATGTATCGGAATTGTTTGACAGCCCATTGGAGGCCTGCCATTAAGGCGGATATCGATCCCACGCCTGCATCGGAGACAACCTTGAGCGGAATAATGTGGGCCTCGGTCGCCACGCCATATGGCACCCCCACTGCTACCCCGGCCACCATTGTGCCATGACCGTTGAGATCTAGCAAGCCTGAGGGGTAATCACCGAAGACCTGCACTCACAAGTAGATATGAGTGAACATATATGACAGTGTATAAAGAGATACGCACCTCACCCTCAAGTACACGGTCACCAAAGCAGATGTGCAAAGGGTTGATACCGGTACTTGCCATATAAATCCTCACCGGCACCATTGTCAGGCCCGCTCGCTTCCCACGTTCATAGGCGCGTCCTCCGAGTTCACCTGGGTCATCCCTTATTTCGGCTGGGACATCGTTGCACCCTGTCGCACGCCCCTCATTCACTTCGTGGGGGGCATCGTGAATGGAGGTTATGCCGTCAGCTTCGACGTAGTCAACTTCGGGGCAACTGAAAATGTGAGTAAGGGATGCTCCAGTTGCGTGTGCGGAGTAGCCATTCAGGGCTACGAAGTAAGTATATCGTTGAGGGGAAATTTTCCGATAGCAACTTACCTTGATACCGATGATTGATTGAAAATTCTGACCCAGGGCTTCGGGCGGATATCCGAGTGATACTGTTGATATGACGTTCCATATCTTCACCGGATTTCAGCACACTAAGCAATGATGAGTCGGCCAGTATTATGCTATGCCTGTGTGTGGGACATACACAATGTACGAGTCGGGCTTTACTGGACCCTTCAGCTTGGTACGAACAGAAACAGCAAGGGTTGTTATGATAGTGGAAGCGAATATAGCAATGGGAATGACCGTGGTTGAGAACTTCATTGGCCAACAGGTGAGAGCACAAGGAAGACTGAGAGGACGTCCGAAGAGCTATATATATAGTAATGTGAAACCCGGTTTGGTCTGATCTCTTATGTAGCACAGCAACTTCATATTTAGAGGTTTGAAATTTTCGGATAAATCTGCGGATACCCGAGTGTCATCCGCATGTTCAAGTCCTGCCATCACCCCAACACCCTTCCTATTCATCTTTCTCTCTACTACCTCTTAGTGACAAGTATGGCTCCTAGCGGATCGGATCCGGATCAGAATCCGCGGATATTTAGAGGTTTGAAACAAAATCCATATCCGGCGGTTAGAAATCCGCGGATAGATCAACCGCGGATTGTAGATAAAATTGCATTTCGTCAGAATGTCCTTGATGAGAGCTTTCTAACAATACCAAATATTGGTGGAGAACTGATGGAAATATGGGGAAAACTTGGAGGTCAAATGCCTAATTTGGAAATAACGGGCCTGGGTGGCCAAATAAGACTTGAAAAAATCGAAAAAAAAAATATATAGAAACATAGGAGGGGTATCTAGGACTGTAGGCAACAATAAATCCGTGGATCTGCGGATTAGAAACCGCGGATATTATCCACTGAAAATCCAAAACCGGATCCGTGAATTTTCGGATGCGGTTGCGGATATCTGCAGATCATCCGATCCGCTAGGAGCCCTAGTGACAAGGCGCAATAGTGGTAGTGCCAATGATAGCCCCATATGCTGACAAGAAGTTGACTACAAGGAATGCAGGTTCAAGTCCTGCTGTCAGCCCAACACTTTCATTTCTCCACTACACCTTCTACCAAAGGACCGGAACATTCACCAGCCAACTGAGACATAAACTTGTGAAAGCACCCTCCAACTCACCCACCCATAGGGGTCCGGGTGGATCGGATAGGATCAGATTAAGATCAGAAATCCTGGATTGGGACAACATCCCAATGGCCAATCCGGATCCGCCGGATGAAAATCCTGGATGATCCTGGATTGTATTTTAATATGTATTTACATGAACTTGTCAGGGTTTGCATACTTGCAATGAAGAAAGCCCCAGAAACCTAGTTGATAGCAAAGCTGGGGGACATGCCCACTCCAGCACACAGTCTTATGTACATGGCAGAGACGGTAACTAGTCAACTAACTAATAACCGGTAGTTGTCAGGGCACACCAGCCTGACCCGGCTCCACCCGGCCCCACCTGACCTGGCACCCCACTGTCCACCCCTCCTCAACCTCCTCCCCCTTTCCTTTCCCCCTCCTCATTTCTGCTTCCTTATCTTCTTTCTATTTTACTTCTTCTTTACCTTCTCTTAATTTTACATGGACGACCTTTCCTTGTATCAATGTACCATTGACACACCTGCTGCATGCCCACAACACACCTGGCCCAGACACCTTGGGTGACTTCCCGCTGTGCCCAGCATGTGTGCTCACACCGGATGCCCTTGGGATCTCCCACAGAGACACCCGGTGTCAGGGCACACCCACCTGACCCGGCCCCATGTCAGGGACGCGTCCAGGGTAGAGGGGGTCCGGATGTATCGCCCGGCAGAAGGGCCCTCGCAGGGTGCAAACCAGGCGTGCGTGCTGGCAGGTCTGGGAAGGGACAGCAGTCCCTGGCCACTTAGACTGAAGTGGAGAATGTGTTATTGTTATTAAAAGGGAAAACTATACTACTTACCTGAAGTGGAGAATGTGAGAAGAAGGTTACTTCTTTGGTTCCCACTTCAGGTACATTTATGTACATGCGGCTTGAGTCACATGACGAGTGCCACGTCACCCTCGGAGGCAGCCGCAGGCATCCGGGTATCCCTGTGGGGGATCCCGAGAGCGTCCGCTGCATGCGCACATGCTGGGCACAGCGGGGAGCCGTCCGGGGTGTGTGGGCCGGATGGGTCAATAGTACATTGATACAAAGGAAAGTGGTCTGTGTAGATAGAAGGAAATAAACAAGAAAAGGAAGAGAGAGAAATGAGATAAAGAAAGGGGAAGAAAGAGAGAAAGGAAAGGGGAGGAGAGACAGAGGAAGGAGGAGGGAGAGGGTTGGACAGCGGGGAGTGGGTGTGGTGTGGCCGGGTGGGTCCGGGTGGACCCGGGTCAGGCAGGTGTGCCCTGACACCCCACCCGGCCCCACTTCACCCGGTACCCTGCCACCCAGTCTTCCCCTACCTCCTCCCCCCTTCTTCTTTCTTTCTTTCTCCATTCCACTCTCTCTTTACTTATTTCACCTTCTCTTTATTTTCTCTTTATTCTACACGGACGACCTTTCCTTGTATCAATGTACCATTGACCCACCCGCAGCGCGCTCACAACACACCCAGCCTGGGCACCTCGGGCGACCCCCGCTATGTCCAGCTCACGTGTTCACAGCGGACGCCCTTGGGATCCCCCACGGGGACACCTGGGTGACTACGGCTGTATGCGAGGATGACGTGGCACCCGTCATGTGACCTAAGCCGCATGTATATAAACATACCTGAAGTGGGAACCGAAGAAGTAGCCTTCTTCTCACCCTTTTCCACTTCAGTCTAAGTGGCCAGGGACTGCCTCCTGAGCCGGGCCCACCAGTATGCATGCCCGCTCCACACCCCGTGAGGCTTCTAGTGTCGGGCGCCTCACCCGGGCCTCCTCTACCCCGGATGCGTCCCTGACACCCGGGTGGTGTTAGAATGGGCGGATTCGGACGACTCCGGAGTGGAATCCGAGACTTAGTGTGGAAGGACCTCAGCCTCAGTGACTCAGGCGGAGTGCTGTGCCATTGCTGGTTGTCCTAGGGGTCCCTAATTTCGGATCTAGCAGAGGGAAAGTCTCTTGGGGGCATTTCAGGTCGATTTTGGACTGAGGTTACAAGTTACTATGTACATTGTATATAAGGAGGGGTCCGGAATCAAAAGGAGCAAGGGTACTCCAAAAGCAGACAAAGGGAGCTGGAAGGAGGAACAACACTGAGGGTCAAGTGTTTGACTCAATGGTGTTTCCCAAAGGAGGAGTGAAGGGCCAAGGCCCAAGGAGGAAGGAAGGAGGAAGGGAGTGGGGAATGGCCAGCTGACTGAATAGAAAGGAAGCAGCAGCCCAAATAGGAATGAGGGAGAATAGCGGAATTGAATGGAGCAATGCAACAGTTGCAAGGTCCGACATAAGTCCGGAAAGTCTGAACTTGGAAGTTAAACTCCGGAATATTGGCAAACATAATTAAATGGAATGAGCTAACCAATACAATGGGTATAAGCGGAGGTGGGGTCAAAGTCCGAGGTCGGAGCTAAGACCAGAGGTTCCGGAGATGGAGACACAACTGGGATTCCAGAGTGGAGGTCCGGAGTTGGGAGCATCTGGGAGGTGTCGAGGTTGAGGTCGGACCTGGAATGTTCCAGAGTTGGGCTGGAAGTTGGCAAGGAGGAGGTGATGGAAGGGGTGATGTTCGGTCCGAGATGAGTATCGGAGCGGACGGAGATAGGGTAGGAGAAGGACAGGAGGGTGGAGGTGGCATGAGGGGTGAGGGGTGGTGTGGTGTCAGGTCCGAAGGTGAATATTGGAACAGACAGCAGTAGGGTAGGACTCTGGAAGTCAGGTTTGGAGTTCCGGGAGCCCGGAGCGGAGGTTGGGGTTGTACGGATATGACATAAGGCCACATCATCTACACACACAGCCACGTCCGTCCGGGTATCTCTGCAAGAGATCCCAGGAGTGCCTGGTGTGTGGGAGGTCACCTGGTGTGTCCAGGTCCAGGCGTGTTATACTGCAGCCGGGTCAATAGTACACTGAGACAAGGGAAGTCATCCATGTAATAAGGAAAGAAGAGAGAAAAGAGAAGAAAGAAAGAAAGAAAGAGAGAAAGAGAGGGAAAGGGAAAAGGTGGAGGTGGTAGTGGGTAGCGGGGCACCGGGTGTGGTGGGGCCGGGTCAGGCAGGACAATGACCCATATTCCCATCAAAGTCTTCTTTTTCGCTTCTTCATCTCCAGTTTGATCCAGTCGGCTGTCGGTTATGATGCCACATGATCTTCTATCTTCTTTGATCTGTTACTACTGTCAGAGACTTGTCTGGGGTCGAGGGAGCCTGGGTGTAGCGTCTGGGGCTGAGAGCCTGGCGGGGGGCAGATCGGGTGTGTGTACTGACAGGCCCAATGCAGGACAACGGTCCCTGGCCACTTAGACTGAAGTGGAAAGATGTTATTGTTATTAAAAGGGGAAGGCTACTTCTTTGGTTCCCACTTCAGGTATGTTTATATACATGCGGCTTGGGTCACCTGACGGATGCCACATCACCCTTGCACACAGCTGTAACCACCTGTCATATCCGTACAATCCCGACCTCCGCTCCGGGCTCCCGGAACTCCAAACCTGACTTCCAGAGTCCTACCCTACTGCTGTCTGTTCCAATATTCACCTTCGGACCTGACACCACACCACCCCTCACCCCTCATGCCACCTCCACCCTCCTGTCCTTCTCCTACCCTATCTCCGTCCGCTCCGATACTCATCTCGGACTGAACATCACCCCTTCCATCACCTCCTCCTTGCCAACTTCCGGCCCGACTCTGGAACATTCCAGGTCCGACCTCAACCTCGACACCTCCCAGATGAGCACGCAACACCTATGCTCCCAACTCCGGACCTCCACTCCGGAATCCTGGTTGTGTCTCCATCTCCGGAACCTCCGGTCTTAGCTCCAACCTCGGACTTTGACCCCACCTCCGCTTATACCCATTGTATTGGTTAGCTCATTCCATTTAATTATGTTTGCCAATATTCTGGAGGTTAACTTCCAAGTTCGGACTTTCCGGACTTACATTGGACCTTGCAACTGTTGCATTGCTCCATTCAATTCCGCTATTCTCCCTCATTCCTATTTGGGCTGCTGCTTCCTTTCTATTCAGTCAGCTGGCCATTCCCCACTCCCTTCCTCCTTCCTTCCTCCTTGGGCCTTGGCCCTTCACTCCTCCTTTGGGAAACACCATTGAGTCAAACACTTGACCCTCGGTGTTGTTCCTCCTTCCAGCTCCCTTTGTCTGCTTTTGGAGTACCCTTGCTCCTTTTGATTCCGGACCCCTCCTTATATACAATGTACATAGTAACTTGTAACCTCAGTCCGAAATCGACCTGAAATGCCCCCAAGAGACTTTCCCTCTTCTAGATCCGAAATTAGGGACCCCCAGGACAACCAGCAATGGCACAGCGCTCCACCTGAGTCGCTGAGGCCGAGGTCCTTCCACACTAAGTCTCCGATTCCACTCTGGAGTCGTCCGAATCCACCCGTTCTAACACCTTAACCACATGTATATAAACACAGCCTAAGTGGGAATTGAGAAGCAACCTTCTTCTCACACTTCCCACTTTAGCCTAAGTGGCCAGGGATGCCTGTCTGCACCAGGCCCGCTGCTCCACTCGCTTGCATCACACCTTACCGGGCCCTCAGCTCCAGGCAATATACCCGGATGCTCTCGACCCCAGGTCAGTCCCTGACAGTCATGTGGCAATGCACTACTTATGCTAGCAACCCAAAGGTGTGTGTCAGGGCACACCCACCTGACCCAGGCCCACCCGGGTCTACCTGGCCACACCTCACCCACTGTCCTGCTGCCCATCCTTTCCCTCCCTCCTTCCCTCCTCTTTCTTTCTTTCTTCTCTTTTTCTTTATTTCATTCTTCCCATCATTCCCCTCCTGTTTATTCTTTCTATTTACATGGACCACTTTCCTTTGCATCAATGTACTATTGACCTGCCCAACCCAGACTCCCCGGATGGCCCCCTGCTGTGCCCAGCACATGCACCTGCACTGGATGCCCTCAGGATCCCCAAATTGAAAGGAGGGGGTGGTGACCATCGAGGGGTACCGAGGTGATTGCGGAAATGGGAGCTCCGAGGTTAGTGAAGAAGGAGCAGAGGTAGACCGGAGGGATCGGAGGGATCGGAAGTCGATGGCTGGGGATGGATATGACAGAGATGACCTCCCTCTAAGTTGTATTGAAGAGGCAGAAGAAATGCTTCTTCTGCACCGACTTTCATTATGACTCGCTATGGCGAGTAGTGTAATCAAAGACCGTAACTTGGAAGCTGCAGTCCTAGACCCCCCCAACAATCGTTCAGGGAGGAGCGAGCTGACGCTCACTGACATTGTACTGCCTGAGGACTCCCTCAGGAGTGTTGTTGAGGAAGATGACTTCCTCTCCTCTGTGAGAGAGGGGTATGCCAAGCATGCAGCTTGGCAAGGGATTCTAGAGAATCCCGGACAATTGCCAAGATTTAAGGTCGAGAGCGGCCTTATTTCAAAGTTGAATGACTTGGGAGAACCACGTCTGGTTCTCCCAGATGTCATTCATAAAGGGGAGAAGGCAACTGGGATCGCCATCCAAAACGCACATGAGATCCTAGGTCACCTAGGATTCCATAAAACCTTAGAATATTTACACCGCTACTATTGGTGGTCTACAATGGTACGCAATGTGGAGAAGTATGTCTCCTCCTGCAAAACGTGCCAGACCACCAAGCGGTCTACTCGATGAAGAGCTAGGCTGTTGCACCAGCTGCCGATTCCAGAGGCCCCATGGTCCTCTATATCGATGGACTTTGTTGGTCCTTTCCCAGCGAGTCTAGATCATAACTACCTCTGGGTCGTTATGTGCCGTTTGACTTCGCAGGTTCACTTGATACCTGTGAAAACCACGATCAATGTGCTAGAACTCGCATATGAGTTCTTGAAAGGCGTCATGCGCCTTCATGGACTCCCAAGATCCATAGTGTCTGACAGAGACACTAAGTTTACGTCCAGATTTTGGACAGAATTACACAGGTTACTCGGCGTTCATCTAAAAATGACGACTGCTTTCCATCCAGAAGGCAACGGACAAGCTGAACGAATGGTTCAGAGCGTCGTCCAAGTAATTCATGCTGCTATTCGGCCAGATCAGTGCGACTGGGTACTAAAAGTCCCTCTTGCCGAGTTTGCAATCAACTCGAGCATGAATAAATCGACAGGGTATGCCCCTTTCGAACTTATCTATGGGACAATACCCCATATGATGGTGGAAGTTCCACTGACTAACCTCCCTGGAGTGGGTGCCTTCGCACAGAAAGCATTAGACAACCTCCAGGGCACCCATGATGCAATAATAAAGAGTCACGTCGAGCAATTGGTCCAAGCCAATCGGCATAGGCACCCAGATCCGCCTAAGCTGAAGGTAGGTGACTTCACCTACTTGGTGACCAAGGACCTCAACCTGCCTAAGGGAAGAGCAAAGAAACTCCTCCCCAAATATGTTGGGCCATATGAGATCCTCGAAGCATTCGAGGATTCATCCAACTATACACTCAAGCTCCCTCCGGAGCTTCTCAATAGGGGTATTCACCCCAAGTTTCATGTTTCTCGCTTGGCCCCACACGAGCCAAACAACTCACTGCTATTCCCGGGTCAGGCTGCCCAAGTCTTCTATGACTTTGGCAAAGATCCTGAATGGGAATATCAGGTCCAGGAAATCCTGGACCATTCCTGGGACACTGGCGGTAGCCTGTGGTTCCGCATCAAATGGGGCCTGGGGGATCTCACATGGGAGCCCCTCACTCATTGCGACGAATTGGCTGCATTAGATGACTACCTATTGTTACATGGGGTCGATGCAGTAGGAAATTTGAATAAGGAAAGCAAATTTCCTTCTATTCCCACATGAGGGGCTAATAAAGCGCCCCGTCCTACTCGCTCCTGACAGACTACCCACTTGGGAATAGTCTTACAGCCTAATGAAGGACAATTATGGTGCTAGTTGCCATATTTGGGTTTTGCCTCCGGGGTATGAACATTGTTCCCACGGACAAAACTTCATCCTTCTTCTTTTCCCCCATCATGTCTGAGCAAGTGCAAGAAAATTTCGGGAGGGAAATGCTGCCCGATGACAACCATGGGCAAAGCCCATGATTGAACACCACCCCCATGGACACTGAGACCATGGGTCCTGCTTTAGACAGCGTTCAACATACTTCAACACTGGGTGCTGAGGCCCCCAGTGCCGCCAATATCCCTAATCCTACCCCGATACCAACAGTATCAGGGCGTCCTTCCCCTGTGATGGATGTGCAAGCTACTGCAGCTTACACTGTGTCCGACCATCAGACAATGGGCCAGCAATTTTTCGTGGACTCGATGGCGCCAGGACAAGCACCGCCATTGCCATACTTTAACCCCAATCTCTGGGGTTACCACCCTTCCCTCCCTCGTGGAGCACCCACTCCTGAAGCAGCTCACCAGCCGCATGCTACAATGTCAGGGTCTTTCCTGACTGAACTCCTTATGGACGCAAATGCCTGTGTTCGATGTCTTGACGACGAACTGTTGCAGTCTCAAGAAGGGACTTGACATATCCAAGAAGAAAACATAGGGCTCCGTGAGGAACTCTTTAACATCAAGCTTGAGAACCAGCGTCTCACCAGCGAGTTGCAGGAGGTCTCGTTACACCGAGATTTCCTCCGACAAAAGTGTGACTCACTGGAAAGGGACCTCGAGTCATTTGAAAAAGGTTGCGAGGAAGATGAGGCATCGCACCCTCAAAAAATCCCTCACACAGAAACGCGTACCCAGAACGCCCCCATCGAGAGGGCACATCATGTAGATGACAACTCTTGTCCACACCCTGGACCAGCTAAACTGGCCCGTCCTCAAGTACCTGTTGCTGACCCAACGGTGAGCCATAGGATCCAATCTAATACATCCAATCCTGAGTCGGGAAAAGAGCGGGCACCGCGTCACCCCCTCCTACCACTCAAATATTCATGGTTCCGGCTACCTAGCCAGAATCATTCTCCTTCTCCTGGGACATGGAGAAACATACCCATCCCGGGTTCCTTCCGCACCAACGACTTCGTACATGGAGTTACTGTTACAGAGGTGGCTAATCATCACCGAAATAGGCCGTCGTCAATGGCGATGGGACAACTTCGTACTCCTGTTCCTGATTACAGTGAATGGGTTTAAATTCCTGGTCGACCTCAAGTGGATTGACCAGCAGGTTGGGGTGGCTGGGGTTATTGATGATGCCCCAGGCGATGTTCATGACCTTCACACTCGTTACTTCGAGCTGAAATTCGAGGGCAGAAGGAATCCTTCTGTGGATGACTTCGACAAGAGGTATGGGTACGTCCAAAGGACTCCCGAAATTCTCAACGAGGCAGGGATGAAGTACATCCTGCTGTCGTTGTGGAGGCATCATCCCTCCAACGAGGCAAGGGCTCATAGGGCGGCCAATACGACTGCCTTCAAATTCTTGAAACTGCATGTGGGCGACTACCCCATACCTCCTCCCCCTCCATTGCAGTCAGGGCACTTTGTGCCTGAACCAGCTCCACCCGTGCCTCCACAAAAGATGCAGGTTTCTCTCTCTCAATTTGTCACGGCCGTGCATTCCGGCCCGTTCCCTGCCCATCCCGATGCTGCCCAAGCCCGTTACCGCTATGCAAGCGTGAGCGTGAGCCCCAGCCTCAGCCCTATCCTCCCTGAGGACTCCCTGCTCACTCCCCCGCTTGGCCCTAGGCTCCCCTGCACCTGGCCGACTCCCCCACAGCCACACCAACCTTCCTGCCCTGAGTCTGCCTCCAGCACCATGCCCAGCGCGACTCCTCTACCCCGCCCACTTGGCCCCTACAGGGCCGCTACCAATCCCACACCCGACTCCGGCCCAACTCCGAGTCCAGCGCTGCTACGATACCATCGCTGCTATCGCGGCCCTATGCTCCTTCCTTTATTTATCTGTTATTGTTTGACCCTCGGTCATTGCTGGCCGCTATGCAGCCAACCCCGCTCCTTATTCTTGTTTGCTTCCGGACCCTTCGGCCTTCGGCCCGGGTCCGCTTCCATTCATTCTTCCTCCTATATATATCCTGTATGATACTTTATTGTACCTTAGCTCTAATATCGATTTGACCACGATCTCTGAGTCCTGACCCCAACAAGGCAACCCCAGTGAGTCTGAAATGAGGGCCAAGAGACAGCTAGGGGGCACAGCACTCCTTTAGAGTCGCTGAGGCCAAATGCCCTACCCTCATGCCTTGTTCATGGCATCACGGCCATCGTGGCCTATAGCGGCCCGCAACGGCAACCTTCGGTGCCGACCCCAGACCACTAACACAATTAATGGATGGCAACTATGGCCATCTACCCGCCACCGTGTGCCCTCCCACCCCACCGCCTATCCCCGATGAGGACGAGGATATGAAGAGTGATGGCGAGGCGACTACAGGGTCAGTCAACGAGGCTGCCCCTCTTCCTGAACGTCATTTCCCTGCTGCGATCCAGTCTGAGACCAAGGCCGCTGTTGCTGGTCCTTCGGACCTTTCTAATGCTGCCATTTCGGCTACCGCTGGCCCTTCCTCCAAGAAGGGTAAAGCAAAGAAAGTTTAATCACCTTCTCTTCGTCGGGGTATATGTGCCTCATTTAACACGGAGGGGTTAATCACCCCCCGTTCTATCATCCGCTCTGGTGTGTCATTCGTACCACTGAGGCCTAACCGCCTCATTCATTGTTTTTTTTTGCTTTCTGCTCTGGGACTGTTGTAACAACGGTTCTGCAAAGGCCTAACAGCCTTTGCTTTGCTATGTTCTCCACCCCATTCTCTGGACTGTCATAATAACGGTTGTGTGAAGGCTTGATGGCATCAGCAAACCTGGATGCGGAGGCCTGAGAGCTGTGAGCAAATTGAGTCTTTTTGCTGTGCACCCTCTACGCGTTGGGTGGAGAAAATTAAATGTTTGAATGATTTTATTCTCCTAAGGATGCAGAAGTGCAAAGATAATATGTATGTACATTTTTGGAAATGCATATTAAATGGCCAGCATCATTACTTGAAACACTCTATGAGCTCATAGAGCTTTTTGTTTTTAAATCATGGATGGTCTTCATATCTCCATGAAATCTGCTTAGTTATTTTGGCACCAGTAGTGCAAAGATAATATGGATATATATGTGTGTAAAATGGCCATTGTCATTGCTCTGAAAGCTCTATGAGCTCTATGAACTCTATGAACTCAGGGGGCTCATAGAGCTCATATACCTTTTGTGTTTACTAAAATCAGCACCTTATTTGTTTATTGCTATTTACAAAATATGAGGAAAACTCTGAAATTCAAAAATTTGCACTTTATCTTTCATCTCATTTCTTGCTCAAAACTCAACCAATTTTGATGATTCTATGTGAATTGGAAAGCACCAAAGTGTGGCAATGTAACCATGCATGTTATGTAGGGTATAAATCAGTTTTAACCAAGTGTTCCAAATGAAGTAAATTGAAAATACCACCCAATAAAGCAAACAAAAAGCTGATGTATTCTTCAGATATCATCCAAGCCTTTGACACCAAATTTCCCATGGTCAAAAAGCCATGGTTATTTGGCTCACTGTCAGGGCCCAGCCCTTGTTCTGTGATGGGCCCAGGGGGATCCTCCTAGTCACTGGGGTATCTAGTCCCAGTCCGAGATCCTCAAACTCACTGAGGGGGCTAAACCTTCTCAACCTCCTCTACAAATGGGAGCCAGGAACTATACAGTTTTCAGCTCTTTGTTGACTTTCCATAAATGGCACCCCCCCGTGGGAACGAGCTGTTCACCCAGAAAGTTCCCACAGTTGTGGCTGTGATGGTTTCTGGGTGAGTAACCCAGAACTTTCCCATGGGTCTGCATGCATGCGGGATTGTGGAATAGTGAGGGGCTGTGCCCTGACACTCACCAAAACATGGTGGGAGACTTTTCTAACACTGAAACATACATTGCTACATTGCCCCACTTTGGCACTTTCCAATGCACATTGAATTATCAAAAAAGTGAATTAATTTTTTTTTTCCAATTATTCCTAATTTCCTGAAATATCTCTCCCTAACTTATCCCAAAATTTCTGATTTTTCCCCTGATTTTTTGGACATTCTCCTTTTTTAGAAAGTCCCCCATTTTCTGAATTTTCCTTAATTTTCCCTGATTTTTTTTCAAGTTTTTAGAAACCCCCCAGTTCCCCCTCAGTTTCCTCCCATTTTCCCCTTCATCCCCCCCCTCAATTTCCCCCCCATCCCCCCTTTGATTTCCCCCTCATTCCCCCCCCCATTCCCCCTCCCAATTTCCCCCTTCAAATTCCCCCTCATTCCCCCCCCCCCCAATTCCCACCTCAATTTCCCCCCCATTTCTCCCCCATTCCCCCTCCAAATTTCCCCTCATTCCCCCCCCCATTCCCTCCCAATTCCCCCCTTCAAATTTCCCCTTATTCCCCCCCCATTCCCCCCTCCATTTCCTCCCTCATTTTCCCCCTCATTCCCCCCTCCAAATTTCACCCCATTCCCCCCCTCCATTTTCCCCCCACTTCCCCCCTCAATTTCCCCTCATTTTCTCCCTCATCCCCCCATTTCCCCCCCATTTCCCCCCCACTCATTTTCCCACTTATTTTCCCGCATTTTCCCTAAGTAATTTCAGATTAACTGCATTTATATCCCTAAATTTGGCTTATATATTGATTGGGCTACATACCCTTGGTGTCTGGTGCCGCATTGGTGCTGAAAGTGAAGCTGAGTTTGTTCAGTCCCTTGTATGGTAGGGACTTGGCTATGGCTAGTCACATGATGCCATAGTCAATGCTTTTAAATTTTAATTTTAATATCGGGTAAATTAAACACTCAGGGAGCTCATATAGATAATAGTCCCCTGTGTGCAAATATAGCTCTATGAGCTCTCAGAGCTTTGACTACTTTTCGGAGCTCTCAGAGAAGGGGACCTGCAATTTCAAAGTACTGAAGCTCTGAGAGCTCTGAGAGCTCTATGAGCTCTATGAGCTCTCAGGCCTCCGCATCCAGGTTTGCTGATGTTGGTCAGAGTCCACAGGAATTCTTGGGCACAGTGGCAGGAAAGATGTAGGAAAGGGAGGCCAGTGAAGGCAGGAGTGGAGGTGGAGGTGTTGATTAATGTGTCAATGTCGAAAACAGAAATGCAATGCATAGCAAATGCGTTGGAGACAGACAAGAGTTGAACATCAAATCAACGTTGAAGACAGCAATGCAGCGCACTGCCATCTAGAATGTCAATGTTACTTTCCCCCTGGCTCCAACACATCCTCTCCATTCCATGTTGTCACTCTCGCTGTCAATGCACCTGTCAACATTCATTTACCATTGGCTGCATCGTGTCTGGCTATACACTGCATGTTGCAGTTTATTCATGAGCTGACATGACTGGGGTGTTCCCCTGGTTCTTAGTACTGCTGCTGCCATGGTCCTGCGTGCTCCCCAGGTGCTTAACTCATCGACTTCCCACATCCAACCCAACCCGCCATCAAGGTTTTGCCTTACACTCCCAGTCCGCTGAAGTACACTGTATGAAGCTGTATTTATCAACAGGGGGGGTAAAAGGCTGGGGAAGCCTTTACCCCCCTCACATGTAGGTTAAATACAATATTGTATATACATGTGATAGTTGCAGCTTGGGACCGCATGGTGTCAGGGACGCGTCCGGGGTAGAGGAGGCCCGGGTGAGATGCCCGACACTAGAAGTCTTGTGGGGTGTGGAGTGGGCATGCGTACTGGCGGGCCCGGCTCAGGAGACAGTTGTCAGGGCACACCCACCTGACCCGGGTCCACCCAGACCCACCCGGCCACACCACACCTGCTCCCCGCTGTCTATCCCCCTCCCCCTCCTTCCTCCCTCTCCTTCCCCTTTCTTTATCTCTTTCTTTATTTCTTTCTTTTCACCTCCCTCTTCCTGTTTATTTCTTTCTATCTACACGGACCACCTTCCTTTGTATCAATGTACTATTGACCCATCCGGCCCACACACCCCAGATGGCTTCCCACTGTGCCCAGCACGCGCGCATGCAGCGGACGCTCTCGGGATCCCCCACGGGGACACCCGGATGCCTGCGGCTGCCTCCGAGGATGACGTGGCACTCGTCACGTGACTCAAGCCGCATGTACATAAATGTACCTGAAGTGGGAACTGAAGAAGTAACCTTCTTCTCACATTCTCCACTTCAGGTAAGTAGTATAGTTTTCCCCTTTAATAATAATAACACATTCTCCACTTCAGACTGAGTGGCCAGGGACCACTGTCCCGGATCGGGCCCGCCAGTACGCACGCCCGCTCCACACCCTGTGACGGCTTCAGTGCTGGACATTACCCCCGGGCCCTCTCGACCCCGGACGCATCCCTGACAACAGTCCCTGGCCACTCAGACTGAAGTGGAAAAGGGTGTTATTATTATTAAAAGGGAATACTATGTTACTTACCTGAAGTGGAAAAGGGTGAGAAGAAGGCTACTTCTTCAGTTCCCACTTCAGGTATGTTTATATACATGCGGCTTGGGTCACATGACAGGTGCCACATCATCCTCGCATACAGCCGTAGTCACCTGGGTGTCCCCATGGGGGATCCCGAGGGCGTCCGCTGTGAACACACGAGCTGGACATAGCAGGGGTCGCCCAGGCTGGGTGTGTCGTGAGCACGCTCCGGGTGGGTCAATGGTACATTGATACAAGGAAAGGTCGTCCATGTAGAATAAAGAGAAAATAAAGAGAAAGTGAAATAAATGAAGAGGGAATGGAATGGAGAAAGAAAGAAAGAGGAAGGGGGGAGGAGGTAAGGGAAGACTGGGTGGTGGGGTACCGGGTGAAGTGGGGCCGGGTGGGGCCGGGTCAGGCGGATTGTCAGGATCCGGACCCCAGCTGGGAGTGGCTGGAGGGCGAGGCCGGGTGTGGAAGCTGGGGTACTCTCCCCAGGTGCTAACTCCTCGAAGTCGCTGAGGGGACTGGCCTCAGCCTTCACAGGGAATGAGCTGAGAAGAAGGGTAAGCTTCTCAGCCCCCTGTGAGGCCGACACAAAAGGACCCTAGGAACTATACAGTTCCCGCTTGCTGCCGATATAACGGGGATTTGCCGGTGTACCCTAAACGAGCCAAATCCTGCGATTCTACCACCCTCAGCAAGCACCTCGCATCTATCACATGTAGCCTATACCCCCTCACACCCTTTACACACATTTCCTATTTTTCCTAATTTTTCTGATTCCATTTCCGATGTCTAGAGACCGATGTTTCCTCTTATTGTCATGTGATATTCTTTCCTATTTTGTCTATCGGACTCTTCCGTGACCCGCTGTACAGTTTGGTAGAGAGTATCAGCACCAGACTCGACTGGACCAATATACCCTACTTCAGACCTGACCCTCAGTGAGATCCTTATCCCCCCTCTTTCCTGTTGCAAGTCTAGTTGGATAGACCTGTTACACCGACTTTCCATGACGGGTTCACGCACACGCATCATTATGTGAAACAGTGGGGGGAAGGATAAGGGGAATGGGGAAATGTGGAGAGAGGGTGGTTAGGGAAAGGGTGAGGGTGTCTGAGGGTGAGTGGGGTCAAGGGCTGTGCCCTGACA